CTGTAGCAGTCACAAAATGTTTTGACTACCAGAGGGTTGCAAGCTTCAGTAAATGATTCCTAACTGACTTTCTCTGAAATCTCTCTGCATGTTGTTCCCTCCTGCTTGTAAGAATTTGAGTTTGAATTTACCTTTTTGCCAAGGGGTGTGTTTATGGAATGTTACTATACTGGAACAGTTAATTGGTCAAGTTACTGTGTTGAGTATTCAGTTAAGTTTTCCAATAGTTAAGTTATTCTAAATTCTGCTTTCTTTTGTTCGTGTTTTAACTGTAGTGTTTATATAAATCATGTTTTGTTTAAAGCCACATGGTTTGACCAGTTGCATCACACCTGGAACACCCACTTCACATCTACCTTTAAAATAAGATAAAGTTAGGGTCTAGGCTACCTTCTTAAAATATTTTGAGGGGGCCTGGCCTGGTCCATAACATATTGCAGGAAGGAAAATGGTGAGCACATATAATAACATTAGTTTGATGACAGTGATATTGTACCAACTGCACAGTCAGATTGCTGAAATTTGTACACAGCATGGAGTCCAGAACTCAGGTTTACAGAAATGACGTGGCCATTATCCGAGTCATGATGCAGATAACAGGTGAAAATCATCATTGCATTCAATATCTTAATATGGGGTGGGGAAATCAATGTTCCACAGACATGATCTAATCTGCAGTCCATAGATGCATCCACCAAGTCAACTACACTGATTGCCAAACTGAGAAATTGGGTGAAAACTCAATGGATTCCGCATGCAGGAAGCAGGATTTTTTTTCAAAACATAAACTCTTTCATGGAATCTGGGCATAATTGACAAGGCTAGCATTTGTTGCTCATCTATCATCATCTTTCACAAAGTGGTTGCTGAGATGCATTCTTATACTGCTGCAGTCCATGTGGCAGTGCTAAAAGGAAGGGAGTTCCAAGATTTTGATCATGTGTCAGGGAAGGAAAGGCAATATAAGTTCTAATTCTGGATGGTGTGCAACATGGAGGGGACCTTAGAGGCAGTGGTCCCACGTATCTGCTGCCCTTGTTCTTCCAGGTAGTAGAGGCCAAGTAACTGAAAGGTGCTTTTGAGAGACCCTTGAAAAATTGTTGAAGAGAAACATTGTACTAGAGAGAAGTATTCAGAGTGATGTACATTACAGTGTAAACAATGCATTTACAAGATATTGAAAGTGAAAGAGAATTACTCTTTGGCTAAACTAGAGATGTAAGATACATGTAGCATCAATGTTGACCAAGCTTGCTGGTTCCTAAAACACACAGCTGCTAGCCTGGGTCTGCGGGAGGTAGTGAGGGAACCAACAAGATGACTAAAAACTTAATTGACCTTGCTCTCACCAATATACCTATCAGAGGTGCGACTATCTATCCAGACAGTATTGATGGGAGTGACGGCTACACAGACCTTGTGAAGACCATTGTGTTTGTTGCACTACCACTGTTCCAACTGGGACAATGTTAAATATGGTGGATGAGGTGCTAATCAAAGAACTGCTTTGTCCTGGATGGTGTCAAGCTTCTTAAGTGTTGTTGGAGCTGCACTCATCCAATAAGTGGACAGTATTCCAACATACTCTTGACTTGTACCTTGTAGATGGTGGACAGGCATTCGGGAGAAAAGAAGCATGTTATTCACCACAGAACTCCTATCCTCTGATATGCTCTTGTAGCCACAGAATTTATATGACTGGTCCAGTTGAGTTTATGGTCAACGGTGACCCCCAAGATGTTGGTAGTGGAGGTTAGGCTCCATTGAACTATCAGGGGACAATGGTTAGATTCTCTCTTGTTGAAGGATATCATTGCCTAGCACTTGTTTGCTATGAATGTTACTTGCTACTTAAGTTCAAAACCCAGATATTGTCCAGGTTTTATTGTATATGGGGATGGACACCTTCAGAATCTGAGAAGTCCAAATGGTGCTGAATATTATGCAATCATCAGTAAACATACCCCCTTTTGACTCAACAATTGAGGGAAGGTCATTTATGAAGCAGTTGGAGCCTAAGATACAACCCTGAGGAAGTCTGAGAAGTATTGTAAATAAAATTTGGTGAACTGCATGTGCAGATTACCATGTGAAATTATGGTATTGTGTCCATAATAAGGACCTGGCTCAAGGAGGAGCAGGACCGGGAATTAAATATTCCTACATACAAGGTATCTTCAAGAAGATAGGAAAGGAAATAAAGGAGAAGGGCTGGGAGTTTTGGTTAATTAGAGCATTGCAATGCTGGAGAAATACAATTCTCTCAGGATTCAAGTACTCAATTGATTTGGTGAGAGCTAAGGACTGAAAATGATGCAAAACAGTGTTATTTATAAGCCATCAACCAGTGGGAAGGTTGTAGATAACAAAAGAAAAGTATAGAGAGTTGCAAATACACGGAGTAGTTATTGTGGGAGAATTTATCTGAATGCAGAATGGGATAGCAGTAGTGTGAAAGGCAGAGAGGGGAAAGTGTTTTCAGATTGTGTTCAGGAGAATTTTCCACAGCAGTTATATGCCCAGTCCAATAAGAAAAGAGACAATGCTAGCCCTGGTTCCCAGGAATGAAGTGGGCCATGCAGATCAAATTTCAGAGATTCCGATGGCCAAATTTTGAACATAGTCTGGAATTATGCTTTGGGACTGTGTGGAATTCTTGCGGCAATTCTGATGGGCAATTTCACTGTATCTTGAACTCTCTGAAAAAGCCGCTTAAAGTCAAAGACTTCAGAGGGCTCAGAATCACTGAAACTTAATAGTTATGCAGGAAAAGTTACAGGATTTTAAAAAATCTACCCTATGCCCTAGTTAACTATGAAACTGAATACCCAACACAGCATTGACATCTCTGCCAAATACACTCACCTTCATCACTGACACCCACGTACCCAACTCCCCCCAACTCTGGGCTGACAAATTCCCTCCATTGATTACAAACCACTGACTTAACACCATCAGACCTAACATCATCCAAAACGTCATGAGTTTATGACAGGTGTCAGAATATGCAATTGAGAACAAGGTTGAATATGGAAAGTTTGGAGGGAGGTGAACAAGCAAATAAGGGAAGCAATGAAGGGAGTATGAAAAATGAGTGGAAAATGGAATCTGAAAGTTTTCTTAAAAAATAGGAAAAGGGAAGTAAAAGCAACAGTAGAATTGACTAGGAATTAAAAAAGGATTTATACATAGAAGCGAGCAATATGGCCGAGGTATTAAATGAATTCTTTAAGACGCTAGTGCTCCCAAGGTCATGGTGACAGTAGCAAATTCAGTCACTGGAATGATTTCAAAATTGATAGGAACATAGAACAATACAGCAAAGGAACAAGCCCTTTGGCCCACCCTCTGTGTAAAAGAATCCTGTAAAACGCAGTTCCTTTAATATTTCTTGCATGCATTTAAACCTGTGCCTTTAGTATACTTCTATCAGGTCACCACTCAGCTTCTGACACTATGGCAAAAACAATCCAGGTTAGTCTAACCTTGCCTTATAGCTAATGCACTCCAATCCAGGCAACATCTTTTCCACCCTTACGAAAGGAAACAGCAGTTACCCCTCCACAGAGAATCACGTGCTCAGCTCTTACTGTTTTTTGGCAGAGAGTCAGAGGCTGAGGAGTAACTGATAGAAGTATATAAAATTATGAAAGGTATGGATAGGGTGGAAATATCAAATACTGTGAGGCATAAGTTTAAGGTGAGAGGGAGAAATTTTAAAGATGTGTGAAGCAAATGTCTTTTTTTACACAAAGGGTGGTAGGTGCCTGGAACGCACTGCGAGGAGAATTGTAGAAGCAGATACGACAGCAATGTTTAAGAGCCATGTAGACGGATATATGAACAGGCAGGGAATACAGTGATACAGACCATGTGCAGGCAGATAGGATTAGTTTAGAATAGCATCATGGTCAGTGCAGGCATGATGGGCTGAAGGGCCTGTTCCTGTGCTGTACTGTTCTATGTTCTGAAGACCAACTGCTTAGAGGCATGTAGAATCCTATGACATCGGCACTTTGCTATTTGCAAATCACTGACTATTGGGCAATACCTCTGACAGAGTGGCATGGTGGCTCTGTGGTTAGCACTGCTACCTCACAGTGCCAAGGACCCAGGTTCAAACCCAGCCATGGGTGACTGTCTGTGTGGAGTTTGTACGTTTGCCCTGTGTCTGTGTGGGATTTTTCTGAGTACTCCAAATTCCTCCCACAGTCAATGATTTGTGGATTGGTTATGCTAAATTATCTGCAGTGTCCAGGATTCCTAGGCTAGGTGGATCAGCTAAGGTAAATGTGGAGTTATTGGACTAGAGTAGTGGGCTGGCTCTGGTCTTGGAGTGATGTTATTTAGAGGGTTGGTACAGACTTGATGGGCCAAATGGTTTCTTTCCGCACTGTAGGGATTTTGTGTCTTGGGTGCACCTTCTTCTCTTTGCACTTCCATTATGCGCTCCTCTGGCTTCCTCCTGACCAGGATGATTCTGAGCATCTGTTTCTCCCTGCTACTCTATCCAGTATCAAAATAGTATGCCTGAGAAGTCTCAATTCCCCTACCTGCCACTTGTCCCTTTCAAAAGTTCAACTATTCACATTCACAAATGTAAACCCATGGTGATAACTCTATGGCACTGGTTGAGCAGCTGGGTTTAAGGTCTGAATTTTATGGGGTGTGGTGTGGTTAGAGAACCTATTGCTTGGCCATTCCCATCTCTTGTTCAATTTGAAATTAGGTAATGTGAGACTTCTTCTCTTTGAGAAAGATATCCTGCCCTTGTAAAGGGGTAGGGGTAACAGTGTGGGAGACGTGAGTCCCCTGTGGTCACAGGGCACAACACCAAAAGGAGCTACCACTACCTTATATTAAGTAGCATGCTGGCCTCCTTTAGTCTGCCTTCTCCAGCCACACACATTATTGCAGCAGAGGCAGAAACAAGCTCTTAATTAGTCATTAAATGGGCCAGTTAAAGGCTTCATTGGTCTAAGGCCATGTGATTCCAATCTGACAGCTTGGGTTTGGGTGGGAAAGCAGACCAATTTTAGTTTATGCACCATACAGTCCACCAAATACTCTAGCAAAGTTTCCTCCGAATCTCCATTTCTCACAAGTTGACTATGTAAGGCAATGTGGTTCAGTGGTTACCACTGCTGCCTCACAGCACCAGGGATTTAAGTTTGATTCTAGCCTTGGGTAACTGTTTGTGTGGAGTTTGCACGTTCTCCCCATGTCTGAGTGGGTTTCCACCAGGTGCTCTGGTTTCATCCCCGTCCAAAAATATGTGGATTAAGTGGATTGGCCATGGGAATATGGTGTGGGATGCTCTTCAGAGGGTCGGTGCAGACTCAATAGGCTAAAAAGCATCTTTTTGAACTGTGGGGATTCTATGATTCAATATACCTATTGACATTTATGACTGCCACTGTGCTCACGACAGCTGCACATTTTCTTTTAACAGTGACCCTAAGTGAAAACGGTAAAGTGAGAAGACAGTTGAGCTCATGGTGGAATTTGTTAACAGATTGTTAATCCGAGGCACATGCATTGCTGCCCCCATTTCCTTTGGGAAATCACAACAAAGTCTGAGGTATGAGAAACCACTAACAACATCTCAAATAATGATTTCCAATCTGTACCCACACTCAATCTTGCTTTCACAGGTTTCGGAGTGTGACAGACAATTTGAAGAAAAACAGGAGTGAACATATTTATGTGAACAAGTCACATATGGCCACAGGTAATACCTAATTAAAATGTTGATATGCAAAAGAAAGATGAGACATAGAAGGAAAACAACTTTTGAAGGTTTTAAGCCTTGACTAATTAATAACAAATTATCAGTTTTTTTTAAATGACATATCACATTTTGGTATATATTATCAAGATGTGAAAGGTAAAGTTGCCATAATCCCAGAGGACCTGTAGGTATGTTCTCTCATTAGACAGAGATGACTGGTGGCGGTTTAACCTGAGGGTCACTGTGCCTCAGGCAAGGGGAGAAGTTGAGAAGCTGGGAACTTGATGTTAACCTCAGCCAGTGCACGAATTAAATTCATGCTGTTTGACATAGAAACATGGACAAATGGCTCAGAAACATTAAAAAAGTAAACATATTTTTGCTTCAGAGCACTTTCAGGATGTCTCAAGCAAAATGTACATCGGTCCATCCTCACTGTTAAGATAATAGAATGGAGAACTGCAGATGCTGAAAATCTGAAACAAAAACAAAAAATTGCTGGAGAAACTCAGAAGGTCTGGCAGCATCTGTAGAGAGAGAAACAGATTTATGGGAATACAGGAGCAGGAGTAGGCCATTCAGCCCTGACAGTTTGTTCCACCATTTGATAAGACCTTGACTAATCTGTGGTCTTGACCCCTATCCCTTAATACCTTTGCTTAACAAAAAATGATCTCCGATTTAAAGTTAATAACTAATCTAGCATCCACCTACGTTTGTGGAAGACAGTTTCAAACATCTCCTACCCTTTGTGCATAAAGTGTTTCCCGAAAGCTCTCCTGAATGGTCTGGCCCTAATTTTTAGACTTTGCCTCCTAGCTCTAGAATCCCCAACTAGTGTAAATAGTTTATCCACCTTGTCTTTTACTGTTAATATCTTGAAGACATTAATCAGACCAACCATTGACCTTTAAATTCTAGAGAAAACAGGAGTCAACATTGAGTCCAGTGACCCTTCTTCAGATACAAAATCAGAGATTGCTGCAGCAGGTGTTGGCAGCATCAGTGGAGACAAAGCAGAGTTAACTTCTAGGGACCAATGAACCTTCCGAAGAGGCTGCCAGACCTGCTCAGTCTTTTCAGCAATTTTTTTGTTTTGATTCTGATTTCCAGCATCCGCAGTTATTTGGTTTGTTTTTGTTTTGTTGAGTGAACCCTTCTTCAGATTCGCGTTTCTCTCTCCACAGTTGCTGCCTGACCCGCTGAGTTTCTTCAGTAATCTCTGTTTTTGTTTCGGACCCTTCTTCGGAACATGTTTGTACAGCTTTCCACGTTAACTGCTTTAAGCTGGTGGGAAACAAATCGATGTGAAGGTCTGACACCTCTTGCTATCCCCCCGCGGCCATTGCACTGACGTCAGCTACGATTCTTGCGCAGGCGCAGTAGGGTATGAAACGTCATCAAAGGCAGACAATGACGGGTAACTATGACACCGGCTTCTCCTTGGTAACCGCGCAGCAGGCCTGGCAACTCCTAATCTGAAGTGACAATATTGCTAACTCAAACTTAGACCGAGTCCGATAGGTCAGCTCCTCCCTGTACAAGGCGGAGGTGGGAAATCAAACAACACACATTTGAAAGCCCAATAATACACGAGTGCCCTCAGTTCAGACCATCAGCTCGTGAGGCGGTGCGATAGCCTGTCAAATAATTTTTAATTGGGTGATAAGGTCACGGGAACACACTATTACAGAAATTATGACATCAAAGAACTAGAAAAAGCACACCCACACAAACGCGATATAACCATCACCTAAACTCCCAGCACGCCTTTCGCTAGTCCGGCGATTCGAGTCCTCCTCTCCATGGACATGACCGCTGGTCACTTCAATACACTCTGGGACTTGTAGTTCAAACGCTTCACAGTTCACCCGCAAAGCCGACGGCCATGAGCTCAGCAGAAAACTACAATTCCCAAGAGGCGGCGCGGCCCCAGCGCATGCGTATCTGCCTCACAGTCAGCCTTCCCTCCCTCCCCACCCCTCTATCTTCACCGCTGTCTCCTGCTTAAGGGATTTGTTTCGTTTCGTTTTATAACGGAAACTGAGACTGGAAGGAGAAAGAAAAGGAAACTGAGTACTTCCGTGTTTCATCTCCCACTCAAGAATATTCGTGATAGGAGCAGTCTTTCCCATTATCAACTGACCATGACACTGTGAGCATTAACGACTAAATATACATATTATATAAACTGATTTTACTATAATCAGAAATAATCAATGAAACAATGTTGCAAGGATCTAAGAAAAAAGACAAACGTATTCTGTCCGGTACGTGTCCGGATCCCAAGTGCCAGGCTCGACTGTTTTTCCCAGCCTACGGAGTCAGTATAGAATGCACTGAATGCGGCCAGCGCCATGAACAAAGAAATCTAGTCAATATTGAGGAAGTCACCGACCCAGACGTGGTACTGCACAACCTGCTGAGGAATGCTTTGCTGGGAGTCACCGCCCCCAAAAAGGGCACGGAAATGGTGAAAGTGATGGGGCTGTCCAATTATCACTGTAAACTACTGTCTCCCATTCTGACCCGGTACGGCATGGATAAGCAAACTGGGAAGGCCAAGCTCTTGAAGGCGATGAACCAAGGGGAAATGTTTGATTGTGCCCTGTTGGGTGACAGAGCTTTCCTTATTGATCCAGAGCACATTGCGACTATGGGCTACGGAAAAGACCGTTCAGGAAGTCTCTTATACCTCCATGATACCCTTGAGGAAATCAAGAAGGCAAATAGTAATCAAGAACGTTTAATCCCTGTACACGTTGATGGTGATGGCCATTGTTTAGTTCATGCTGTGTCCAGGGCTTTAGTAGGCAGAGAACTTTTTTGGCATGCTTTGCGTGAAAATCTCAAACAGCATTTTAAGGTAAACCTGGATCGTTACAAAGCACTATTTCATGACTTCATTGATGCAGCAGAATGGGAGGATATCATTAACGAGTGTGATCCTTTGTTTGTTCCTCCTGAAGGAGTACCTTTAGGTCTACGTAATATTCACATATTTGGTTTGGCCAATGTGTTACATCGCCCAATCATTTTGCTGGATTCCTTGAGTGGAATGAGAAGTTGTGGTGATTATTCAGCTACTTTTCTCCCAGGATTAGTTCCTGAAGAAAAATGTTGGGGTAAGGATGGACAGCTGAATAAACCTATTTGTATTGCATGGAGCAGTTCAGGACGTAACCATTATATACCTTTGGTTGGAATAAAAAAGGGTCCTTTACCAAGGCTTCCTTTGAAACTGTTGCCCAAAGCTTGGGGTGTACCACAGGAGCTTATTAGAAAGTATATAAAGTTTGAAGATGACAAATGTATTTTAGGAGGTGACCGAAGTTTGCAGGACAAGTACTTGCAGAGGTTAGTTGCTGCAATGGAAGAAATTTTCTTGAAGACACATGATATTCACCCTTCTCTGGTAGCAGATGTTCATCAGTATATATACAGAAGGACAGGGGTGATTGGAATACAGCCTGAAGATGTTACTGAAGCTGCAAAGAAGGCCGTAATTGAAAATCGTTTGCAGAAATGTTTGATTTGTGGTGCTCTTTCCGAACTTCATGTGCCCACTGAGTGGCTAGCTCCAGGAGGAAAGCTGTACAATTTAGCTACAAGCACCTATGGCCAACTGAAGCCAGACAAAAATTACAGCTTTCCTGTCAACCATCTGGTCTGCTCATATGACCCTAAAGAAGATGTACTGGTGCCAGATTACAATTTGAGTCACTTAACATCTTGCAACTGGTGTCACGGTACTTCCATGCGCCATGTCAGAGGGGATGGTTCTGTTGTGTACTTAGATGGAGATCGAACTAATACCCGGTCTGCTGGAGGTAAATGTGGCTGCGGCTACAAGCATTTCTGGGAAGGAAAGGAATATGATAACCTGCCTGAGGCATTCCCAATAACTTTGGAATGGAATGGGAGGATAGTTCGAGAAACTGTTTATTGGTTTCAGTATGAAAGTGACGTGGCTCTAAACAGCAATGTTTATGATGTTGCTATGAAGCTTGTTACTAAGCATTTTCCTGGTGAATTTGGGAGTGAAATCTTGATTCAGAAGGTTGTTAACACCATATTACATCATACAGCTAAAAAAAATCCTGATGAATATACTCCAGTCACTGTCGAAGGGGCACATAGTCGTAGAGTTGGTGACTTGCAAGATGAGCCAGCATCAGAACCACATTTACCAACCAAAATCATTTTAATGGGTCAGAAATCAAAGACTCTGCATAAAGAAGAACTGAACATGAGCAAAATTGAACGAGGTATTCAGCAGAACATTACTGACCATGCAGCTACTGTGCAAAAGAGGAAAACTGACAAATTACGCCAAGATCTGAAGGTACCAGGCCAACCACCTTCTCCTGGAATTGTTAAAGATGGGTCATCATCTGCCCCAGCCACTCCCATCAAGTCCCCTTATTCCACATCACCTTCCAAGGTGAAAAAGATTAGAGTAACCACTAGTGATGGACGACAGGCGACACTGACCCTTCAAGCTTCTGTAACATTTTCTGAGTTTCAAGAAAGCATAGCTAAAGAATTTAGCCTTCCCCCACGTTTGCAATGTATACGGCATGGCTTTCCTCTGAAGGAACTGCACCCACCTAAAGTGGGATGGGAGAATGAGGTATTGCCTCTGCAACACGGTGATTGTGTTTCTGTGGAGATTCTGAAGGACAGCAAGGAATCTGTTCCTGCCGCTTCAACATCTGCAGCTCATTCCTGGAAAACTGAAGAACCTGAAGCATCTGGTAGAGCTTCTGTTAAAGAGACGCAAGAGCATATTGATCTTGAAATGTCTTCCCTCTGCCTTCTAGCAACCTTAATGGGTGAGAAGTTATATTATCTTATTTTTATGAATTCTGGGTAACTTATGCAGGAATATTGTCGTGATAGGATTCTCCAACTGGGAGCTATTAAAAGGAAAAGAAAACTTAAAAGTGGAAAGCTGACATAAATGCTAAAATATATTAGATCAATCAACTCCTGAGAGTGAAAGATAATAGGAGAGTTAACATTTTGTGTTTGAATTGTTATTGATTATTTTTCTTCACAATATTAATATTGTGAAACAGGGGCCAGTATATTTAGTATCCAAATTATTTTTAAGAAATGAAATACACTATGCTGCAAGGCATACTGCAACTCTGTGTTTCTGAGTTTGTGAGTGTCTGTCTTGAGAATGCGACTTGATGTTGTCAGCAGCAAGAATGAAGCAAGAGAACAATGATGCAGTAGGTGCCATGATGTGTCGAAGCTGATCTGTCACGATCCGGCTGTTACTTGATCTTAATTAGGTTGTGTGATGTCAAATGGTTTGGGATAGTAGAATAGACTGCATCATGGTGCTGTTGCAATTCACCCTACAAAAAAATATTGACATTTGTTGTGCATTAACAGAGCAATAGTTGTATTAACTTTGTTCCAGAACTTCATTTGTTTATACTGCTTTCTGCCTTTACCTCTTAGACATCACACACTCGAATGTAATTAGCAGAATTATATTTCTACAATGATTAGTTAACATGAGCAATATTTGATCATTTCACCCAATCATTTGATTGCTCAAATGAGAAATGGTTAAGTGTAATTTGTTTCTTTTAACGATCTTGTAAAACTTCCTTCTTTGTGGAAATTGTCATGCTGCTCACTGAGTATCTTTGGGGTAATATTAATTATGTGTAGGCAATGGGATAAAACTTAAATTTGGACAAAAATTAATTACTGAGCTCAGATATATTTAAGTAAAATAAACAAATTACTGATTTTTCCTTATTGTCATCAGCATGCTTTGTAAATACAATAGAGGTGTGTAAGATTAGCAAAGGTTTAAAGAGCCTGTTTGAACACCAGTTAGATTTTATAGGCTGCATTCATATCTGAAGCCTTGAACCTTTGCACCTTTTGTGTAGGCCATGATTCAAAGTTCAAACCTCTTATTTTTACAGTGTAAGTAAATCTAGGCATATTATGAGGGTGCAAGGCTTAAGACGATTGAACAGGCATTATTACATTAGATTTCGGAACATTTAACCATATTGTTGTGAAAATTTTCCAATTCTATCTGTTTTACCTGAAAATTAAAATTAGTGTCCTGGTAGAATATAGTGATTTTAGTGTTCTAATCCGGAAATTATTCTTTCTTCTCCCAACAACAGTTTTCTTGTTTTTATTTTTCTGTTAATGAAGGTGGTTTCATCCTATTCTGCAGGAAACAGCAGTTTCTAAAGTTTGTATTAGTACTACTGTGCTGTTTTCAGCATATTGATAACCACATTTATTGCAGTGCAATACTAAAATTATTGGTTCTCACCCTGTCTATACACGTGCGATTCCAGTAGGAATTTGGATAGTGGCTAAGAGTAGAAATTTTTTTTTACAATTAGTTAATGGGATGTAGGCATTGCTGGCTAGTCAGTATTTATTGCCCATCTGTAATGGTTCTGTAGAAGTGGTGGTGAACGATTTTGA